ATTTCAACTTTATTACAGAAGTACTCGTTACATTTTTGCATTTTATTTTCTTTTACACAGTAATCAGGTAAGTTTTCAGCTTCACTTATAACTTTCATCAGGGAAATGTCTGGCTTCAATTTTTTTTAAGCCAGTTTAATTAATTATTTTTGTCTAATTTGATACAACCGTTAGCTGTCTGTGCAAAATATTAGCTGAATGCACAAGATTGAATGCAAATAAAATAAATAATGAGATTTTAAATACAGTTAATATTTTGGCCATGATCGCTTTGTATTTATTAAATGTTGCAAATCTCCAAAAATATTGGATGATGGAAAGTGGATAAGTGGTATTATAATTATATACTGAGTAACAATAGGGGTTGTCAATTAATTATTTTTTCATCTAAATAATTACATGATTTGCCTATTAAAGTAATGAATGAAAATCAGTCACATACCAATATTTCAGAAAATAACCTTTAATGCCCCAAATAAACAATAAGAAAAGTTGAATTATTGTTGCAAACAATGCGTTGAATAGAAAGAACAAAATGTATTGCGTTTTATTTCCATGTCACTCAACACATGTACTTGTATTCTGTCTTGAATATGTTTTTGGCTTCTGCATCACATCTTGCTCTGAAGATGAAAAATGAAAATTCTGTTATTTACTGACCCTCATGTCATCCCAGACGTCCCTTTCTTCAGATGAACACAAATAAATATTGTTAGTCCATGTAATGCAAATATACAGGACCTCTTCAAAAACCACACAAAGTGTAAACGAGAGTAAAATTTAAACCTCCGTGTTTTTCTTACACACGCCTATAATTTCACTTAAAGGGTTAGATCACCCAAAAATGAAAATTAGCTTGTGTTTCGCTCACCCTCGAAGCTATGGCGTGCCGGAAGGTACAAAAATAAGACTAATAACTTGTTGCGGGAAGTCACTATACTATTGCCAGGAGCTACTGAGTTTGCCACGACTCACACAAAGCATCCTAGATGTATGTGACGTTCTTCTTTCAGACGAATCCAATCGGAGTTATATTAAAAATTGTCTTGACCCCTCCAAGCCTTACAATGGGGCTAAGCGGGTGTTTGTTGTCAACAGTTTAGAAGAATGCGCGCATCCGTAATAAAACGTGCCTCACACGGCTCCGGGGGTGAATAAAGGTCTCCTGTAGTGAATCCATGCGTTTTTGTCAGAAAAATATCCATATTTCAAACGTAATAAACACTTTTTTCTCACTTCCGGTGTTCTGTCATATGCTGAAGGCGTTCCGGCGGATGACGTAAGACATCGGCATTGCGTGATTAGTGGCGGAGAGAACGAAACAAAATGCAGTTCACGAATTAGAAGCACAAAACGAGGATTTGTAAAGAAAAATAGCGGAGGATTTCTATATAAGCCAAGAGGAGACTGGTTTTCCTTTGCTAGAGTAAGGAAACCTTTGCTCCTGACACACGCACATCGCATAAGTCTTACGACATCCGCCTGAACATCTTCCGTGTACCAGACTATCAGTCTTTTTGTTGATTTATTTAGTTTTTTTTTCTTCCTTAATTTGCATTCTTTTTTTTACAATCATTGTCTCTTTGAATTTATTGAAATTTTTGCTTTTATTGTCAATTTGTATGTGAATTTTCACTAAATAAAGCAAAAAAAACAAAACAAAACAGACTACCAGTCAGCAGAAGTGAGAAAAAGTGTTGAAAGTCACATACACCTAGGATGCTTCGAGGGTGAGTAAAAGACAGTCTAATTTTAATTTTTGGGTGAACGAACTCTTTAAGACGACATTGATTCATCAACTGGGGTTTTATGGCTTGCTGTTGAGTTCATTTTGTATAGTTTTAGACGCATCTTCTTTGGACGTCCTGTACACTTACATTATATGCAGAAAGATGGATTATTTTCCAAAAGTCTTTCTGAAGAGAGTCTTATATGGCATATACATGTGGGATGGCATGAGAGTGTAAAGGATGGCGTATCTCTTTAAGGGCTGTATTTTTTGTGTTCTACTGTGCTGCATATTAATTGATGTTGTGTCCATTGTGTTTTTTGTTTTTTCCCTTTACCAAACCTTTCTGTCTATCTAACTAAACCTTTGTAAGATAATTCAATATGATAAAACAAGAATATCCTCTCTTATTTTTATTTTTTAGGTTACTTCTACTTTTTTAATACTTGAGTACAATTTAAAGTTGTACGTTTTTGCTTTTAAAGTAAAATTTTCACTCAGTATCTGTACTTTCACTCAAGTATAATTTTGAGTACTTTTTACATCCCTGCAATTAGCCTATAAGTTATAGGCTACAATGAATTTCTCTGGGTGCAAATGCATTATAATGTTTGTACAGGGAAGAAAAAACATCTATCTATCTATCTATCTATCTATATATATATATATATATATATATATATATATATGCAGTGCATTCAAAAAGTATTCACTTTTTTCAATTGTATGTTGCAGCCTGATACTACAATTGTTTAAATTCATTTTTTCCCCTTATTAATCTACACTCTGTACCTCATAATGACAAAGTGAAATCAGAATTTTTAGAAATGCCTGTAAATGTATTAAAAAGAAAAACCTGAAGTATCACATTTACATAAGTATTCAACAACAACAACACTTGAAATTTAGCTCAGGTGCCTCCCATTTCTCTTGATCATTGCTGAGATGTTTCTACACCTTGATTGGAGTCCACCTGTGGTAAATTAAATTGATTGGACATGATTTGGAAAGGCACACACCTCTCTAGAAATTAATACTTAATATCTTAAGTCATTTTGCATGTAAATGTATATTTCTTTAAAAATGTTTAGATATTTGTACTGGAAAGCAAAACTATATATATATATATATATATATATATGCAGTGCATTCCGAAATTATTCAGACCCCCTTCAGTTTTTTTTCAGTTTTGTTATGTTGCAGCCTGATACTACAATTGTTTAAATTCTTTTTTTCTCATTAATCTACACTCCGTACCTCATAATGACAAAGTGAAAACAGAATTTTTAAAAAGTCTGTAAATTTATTAAAAAGAAAAAACTGAAATATCACATTTACATAAGTATTCAGATCCTTTACTCAGTACTTAGTTGAAAGGGACTTTGGTATAAGCCTACCTTTTGGAAATCTTCTTGAGTGTTATTTTGTAGCTAAGGCTATTGAGACTTAAATCAGTGTCCTTTTCTGATTTATGACAAACTCAGATTGAATAAACAGATTACTACATGTTTATATGTTTAGTGATCTTATTTAAAATACAATTACCACTGGTCTATATAATGATTATCATAGATCAGTGATAGAACCAATTATTGAAACAAATTTTGATGGGTTAAAACGGAATTAATATCATAATTTGGCAATAGACTGATGAGGTTAGTAAATGCAGCCTTTTTTTTCTTCTCAAAAGTATCAGTAAAAGTATCAGAAAAATAAAAGAATGAATTAATAAATAAATGGAAACATAAGCTAAGGAAAGCAAACAAATCAATAGAATCATCAAAAAGAAATCACATATTGTTTCAAGAATCTGTCACATTTTCATTACTAATAAAAAAAAAGAGAACTCAGTCTACCTCAATCCAAAAAAAAAAAAAAAGTGACAGTAAAAAGTGAGGCCGGAAACTTTTTTATTTATAGATAAAACACTATCAAACAAAATAAAAAACTGAGGATATATTCCTTAGACTTTTTTTCTCATTTTGATAACCAAAAATGCTGCGCCCTCCAAAGACTCCCAAAAGTGTTGTCTAGGTAGTCAGGTCGATATGTTTTGAGACACAGCCATAATGTAAGAAGGCGAGAAATATCAAAGCCACTCCCTCCTGCCATCCACTCTCTCCCGCTGCCAGCAGTAGCTCACTCTCCGTCTCTGCGTGCGGTTCTTGTCCGCCTGCTTAAAATGGACCAGGACTGGCAAGCTTTAGCCACACAGCGAGCCGAGTACGTGTCTGAGCGTATACGCGGGCTGCTGTCCTCCGGCCTGGATTTCCTCCGGGCCGAGCTGGGGCTTGATCTGGGGATAAAGCCGGAGCAGTATCCGTCATGGCTGATTCTGAGCGCGGCGCTGATCGGGCTGACGGTGCTGCTGCTGATCGCGGCCTGTGGACGGAGGAAGCGCCGAGCTGCGCCCGTTCCTGTGGGCTTGATCTGGGGATAAAGCCGGAGCAGTATCCGTCGTGGCTGATTCTGAGCGCGGCGCTGATCGGACTGACGGTGCTGCTGCTGATCGCGGCCTGTGGACGGAGGAAGCGCCGAGCTGCGCCCGTTCCTGTGAGCCCCAGCACCGCCGTTGCCGAGACCCCGGTTAAGGCCGCCGTACCACCGAAGTCTGTGAAGACCGAGCCGAGCGAACCGAAAAAGAAGAACAAAAAGAAAGCAGCCGAGAAGGTAAGCGGCCTGCGATTGTGATCTGCTAGTGCTAATGGCTGTGATTCAAAACTAAGACAGCTGTCTTCCTAGACAGCCTTTTTGTGATACCCAAAAATGAAATCTAGATAGGCAGCCTGCTAGGTTTTGAGATTTGTCTAGGTAGTCAGGTCGATATGTTTTGAGACACAGCCATAATGTAAGAAGGCGAGAAATATCAAAGCCACTCCCTCCTGCCATTCACTCTCTCCCGCTGCCAGCAGTAGCTCACTCTCCGTCTCTGCGTGCGGTTCTTGTCCGCCTGCTTAAAATGGACCAGGACTGGCAAGCTTTAGCCACACAGCGAGCCGAGTACGTGTCTGAGCGTATACGCGGGCTGCTGTCCTCCGGCCTGGATTTCCTCCGGGCCGAGCTGGGGCTTGATCTGGGGATAGATAAAACACTATCAAACAAAATAAAAAACTGAGGATATATTCCTTAGACTTTTTTTCTCATTTTGATAACCAAAAATGCTGCGCCCTCCAAAGACTCCCAAAAGTGTTGTCTAGGTAGTCAGATCGATATGTTTTGAGACACAGCCATAATGTAAGAAGGCGAGAAATATCAAAGCCACTCCCTCCTGCCATCCACTCTCTCCCGCTGCCAGCAGTAGCTCACTCTCCGTCTCTGCGTGCGGTTCTTGTCCGCCTGCTTAAAATGGACCAGGACTGGCAAGCTTTAGCCACACAGCGAGCCGAGTACGTGTCTGAGCGTATACGCGGGCTGCTGTCCTCCGGCCTGGATTTCCTCCGGGCCGAGCTGGGGCTTGATCTGGGGATAAAGCCGGAGCAGTATCCGTCGTGGCTGATTCTGAGCGCGGCGCTGATCGGACTGACGGTGCTGCTGCTGATCGCGGCCTGTGGACGGAGGAAGCGCCGAGCTGCGCCCGTTCCTGTGAGCCCCAGCACCGCCGTTGCCGAGACCCCGGTTAAGGCCGCCGTACCACCGAAGTCTGTGAAGACCGAGCCGAGCGAACCGAAAAAGAAGAACAAAAAGAAAGCAGCCGAGAAGGTAAGCGGCCTGCGATTGTGATCTGCTAGTGCTAATGGCTGTGATTCAAAACTAAGACAGCTGTCTTCCTAGACAGCCTTTTTGTGATACCCAAAAATGAAATCTAGATAGGCAGCCTGCTAGGTTTTGAGATACATTGTCTTTCTAAAAATCATATTTAGCTGACTTGAGTTTGATAGAGGTTTGCACGAGTAGTTAACTTTAGCTGCTAACGTGCTAACCATAGACTGTATAAGGTGCTAACCTGTCAAAACCGTTAAGAATCACCTGTTCACACAGAAATTATTTTCCAATCATAACTATTTAATTCTATATTGCTTATCGTCACCTTTAGTATTAAATTAACAAATCTGGCGTTGTTATTTGATTACGAGTAATAGTAATAAAACAGACACGAAGGCGGTAGGAGAGCCACGTAGCACAGTATAGCAGACACGCTCATAAGTTTCGTTTTGGCTAAACACCACCTTTTTATGAGTCTAAACTATAAAGGATCCTCGTAGTGACTGTTTTCATTGCCTAAGGGTTGTTTTCAAGCACTGTCAGTTGATAGAGGAAGGAAATGAGGAGTTTGTAATTGTTGGTGTGTAACTGTCATGCGCCCGCAGCAGAAGGCCCAGGCCAATGGACAGACAGTGGCTGGACCTCAGGAGGAAATCAAAGTCATTGAGGAGAAAAAGAAACTCCCTCCTGCACCAGCACCTGCACAGCCACCTGCTGATACAAAGGTTGGTTCACCTAGTATTCATGCTGGTTTCGTTGAGGAAGTGTATTTGTTTGTTTATATATTAGTAGTAACAATAATTGTAGTAACTAAGGCATTTTTGGCACCGCTGTGGTGCATTTCTTTTGCTTTTCTGAGGAGCAAAACAGTTTAGAGATCTTTGGAGATTTGCTAACGACGTCGAACATACATATACCGTGATTTGACTGAAAAACTTGTATACCTCTGTGATGTAACGTAAACCTGCAGCTCAAGTCAGAAACAACATGGAAGTAATAACAAAGCAAAAGAATCATACTGTGAACAAAAAATCCAACTCGCGAACCTTTCCCAATCCCGTCCCCCCTCTCTCTCCCACCTCGCTTCCTGTCTACATACTGTCCTATCTTAATAAAAGCAAAAAAAATTAAATAAATAAATACATAAAGAATAAATATTAGTATTGTAACTCTAATGTAATGATAAAACACTTACAAAGGAAAATGAAATTCATTATTTGTTTACCTACATGCCATGTGACAATCAGAGAACCATGAACAAGCAAATCTGTTGTTAAACTATTAAAAATTCATTAAGGGTTCTCATGGGGTGCTTGTGAATATTTTGCAAGTGAAATTAGACAAATGGGTTTGGCAGACAAAACGTTTGTGAATATCTGCACTATAGACTCTTTATAGACAGTAGATTATAGATATGGTATTATCCATATTATATATCATTGTTTGTTTACACGGTGTTTCAAATCTGCATGCCTTTTCCAAAGTTGCAGTTCAAGTGTCATCTGCAATCAGTTTCTCGCTTGTAAATATGACATCGCTTGGTCATTCGTGTGTTCTGAATTCGTAATTATGAAATTTCCAACTCCACTTGAAGGGCACATTAACAATACTTGACCGGTTTGGAAAGTACATTTGACTCTTTTGCACAGTAGTGCTATGAAGGTTTGAATCAGCCTTGGTTCAGTCTGTAAACAGTGATTGAGAGAGGTCGGGTGTCAGTATCGGCCTGTAATTTGATAATGCAGATACAGCTAATGTAGGGTACATCCAGAGGGGAAACTGTGTACTTTGTCCCAAGGCCTCAAACTTTAGGCTTAGTTTTTACAAGGCCGAATACGTATTTTAAGAAATCTTTATAACAGTCTGTCACTATGTGCCTGTAGTAAGTGTGAGAGTAAGAAAGATACTTTGTTTCTGACTTGTCAGGAAGTTCTAAATCAGTGTTTTTGGCTCTTATGTAGCCCAAGAAAAACAAGAAGAAACCAAAACCAGAGGTGAAGCCAACCCAAGATGTTTCCTCCACCGATGGCAAGGAACCTGATGAAGGTATGACACTGGGTTACTAGACTGTAGTGGCAACTTCACATTTTCAGTATGAAGGTTGTTTGTTAGTGATTAGTCTCAGAAATTCAAATGAGCTGCTTATACGAGATGCACTTTCAGTATGACTGTGTTTAGCAGGTGCTTGGGAAACCAAGGTCAGTAATCGAGAAAAACGTCAGCAGCGCAAAAAAGAGAAGGGCCCTGGTGACAGCTCTGGGAGCCCTGAGGTTGGAGATCGTGCCAGTCAGAAGGTAGAGCAACCTGCAGTTACAGCCCCAGCTGGCACCAAAAAGAACAAGGGTATGCATTTCCTAAATTCAGTGCTTGTTCATGAGACTGTTCATGGCATCCTAGAAAATGTTAATACTAGGGATGTTAATTTCGGTTATTTTTCCTAACCGACAACCGACGCTCGTAAGGAAACCAGACGGCAGAAAGTGGCATCCTATTTTTCTATAGGCTTATTTTACAAAAGCACAAAGATTTGTTTTTATTGTGAATGTACACAAATAAAAGCAAACACAGTTAAGCTTTGCTACCTTGACAATGCAGCCTGTTCATTATCATAATAAAATACAGTCAGTCAAACATATGGAAAAAAACACACTGCTCAGTTCAAATATGTAGTAAAGTCTGTGCCGAAGTGTTATCACAGTACCGCCGTTATAAGCAAAACATTTTGTTTTACGTAGATATTGGAACGCGAGTGAAGTAGGCTACATAATAAATAATAATTTGCCATTCAAATACATCGCGAATACGGAAACATTTGATTTTGTGTCAAATGAGAGACCCAATGTTGGTTTCAGTTTCGTTTTAACCTAAATGAATTCGTTTTGGATTGTCATTTATATTGCTATAGCTTCTTAGGCCTATTTCTGAATGAAATAATAAAATGCGACTTATACTCGACTTGCTTTTTTTTTCTTTCAAAAAAACGAATTTTTTATATACGCGTAGCATATTTTAACCATGCAGCAAACCTTTTTAAATATTTTGATAAATTACTGAAAAAATTTAATAAATTACTTTTTAAACCGTTTAACTGATTGTATTAATTGGTCAAAAATTCTTATGGTCAGTTAACAGTTAACCGGTTAAAATGAACATCCCTAGTTAATACGCAAGTATTTAAAGTGCTCTTCCTTTGATGTATTGCAGAGTCATCACGTGCCAAGGCCTCGAAGGGTGACACCATTATACCCTCAGGTAAAAATTACACTTTTCATATACTGAATACAGAATCTGTGAATGTTTCTTTATAAAAAATAAAACTCTAGAATTAATTTAATAGAAATATATGTATTTTTATTGAGGACATAGATTCATGTACGCTATAGTTCAAAAGTTTTGGGATGGTAAGATTTTTTTTTTTCTTTTGCGAGGATGCATTAAATTGATCAAAAAGGGACACTAGAAATATTTACAATGTTAAAAAAGATTTATATTTTAAATAAATGCTCTTCTTTTCAACTTGAAGGAATCCCGAAATCACAGTTTTCACAAAGATGCTTAAGCATTGCTTTCAACATTGATAATAATAAGAAATGTTTCTTGAGCAGCAAATCCGCATATTAGAGTGATTTTTGAAGGATCATGTGACACTGAAGACTGGAGTAATGGTTGCTGAAAATTCATTTTTGTAATATAAATTACATTTTAAAATACATTTAAAGAGAAAGTAATTGTAATAATATTTCACAGTGTTAATGCTTTTACTGATCAAATAAATGCAGCATTTGTGAGCAAAAGTGACTTCTTTAAAAAAAGCATCTTACCATCCACAAACTTTTCAACGATAATAATGTGACAGAACTTACCTTACAAATTTCACCCTTTTCTTTTAGTGTCGTCTAACTGGAATGATGTGAACTCTGTTAATGGTGGAGGATGGACAGAGGTTCCTGCGAAGTCAACCCAAACAAATGCTTTAAACAACGAGAAGTTGTCTGCTGGGAGAAAGACCCCTGGGCACAAGAACCGTGAGAACGCCACCTGGAAACAAGAGTCCGAGGGTAATAGATCAGAGCATGATTTGTTTATAACAATGGTTGCATTTAAGGGTTTTTTCAGATTATTGTGACAGATCTTAAAGTTTCTTGTTACATGTAGTAATCATCAGATGGTAGATGGTTGTTCTAATGAAATTCAAACCTTTGAGGTATTTCACCTTACTTAATTTTATGTTAAGATGTTAAGCATAAAATTATATATAAGCATAGTAACATGGGTTTGGATGGTAGAATTAAGGCAGAACCAAACCCAGTAAACTTGACTGAACCCATCAAGTACTTATTTTTAATTTTCATTACGCTGTCATTCTTGTGAGGAGCACATAATTTTGTTTTTGTATGCTCATAAGAACTATGAAGAATGAACCTTTTCCGTGTATTTTCGCAGGTGGAGAGACTGGGACTAAATCTAACTCTGAAATCAGGCAATGGGACAGTGGACCCACCTTTGACAGTCAGTGGTCCAATATAAGTAAGATCAAAACTTATTTAGACTCAATATTTACTTGATGAACGTTTCATTCAAAAGTTTGTGATCGGTAAGATTTTTTAAAAATGTTTTTGAAAAGTCCCTTATGCTCGGCAAGGCTGCATTTATTTGATTAGAAATACAGTACAAAAAACAGTAACACAACAGTGAAATGTTATTGTAACAAAGTTCGTAGTCACGGGAAGAAGGAGGCGGGAACCGGCGAACATTCAACGAAACTTTAATAATAAAATAAACACAAAATAGCGCGACAGCCCCTCACGGACGACTGCCGCGCACAAACGAAACCAAAACACAAAATAACACAATTTAAAATACCTGTTTTCTATAATATATTTTAAAATGTAATTTATTCTTGTGATGGCAAAGCTGAATTTTCAGCATCATCACTCCAGTATTCAGTGTCACATGATCCTTCAGAAATCATTCATATATGCAGGGCTCCAGACTGCGACCATTTTTTCTGTCTGTGCTACTAAATTTTGTGTGCGGTCGCACTGATACGAACCACCGCATTGTTCAACTCATAAGCTCTGCCATTTCTGTTGCATATGAGAAACATCAAACTAAATTTTGTAAGCTAGTTTGTCATTGTATCTTACTGTTATTTTTACAATAAAATCTTACTGTTTTATTGTTGTGCTTTTTTAATTAAGAATAACAAAGAATCCATCTTTTGTTTTAGTCTTAAAAAGTGAAATATGTATAGATGTATGTGGGCAAATCGGACAATTATCTTTTCTTGTAAAATGTTACAATAAGATCGCAGTGAAAGCATCTGAAAACCGGCTTATAACATAGTAAAAGAGGATTTCCCGTTCACAAAATTCAAATCACAAATACTGAAGAAAAAGAACAGGTTGAATGTTAACCACTTTCGTTTCCATATAACTATAAACTATGATAAAAGTTCATCAGCATGCATTGATTAATCCCATGTTGTAGCAAAAAAAATATTGCGACCAAATCATGTGCTCGTGCGACCAACTGAGAAAGTTAGTCGCAAAAGAGCGACCAGTGGGAAGAATGAGTCTGGAGCCCTGTATATACTGATGTTGTTCTGTTTTTAATATTTTTGTGGATTCTTTCATGAATAGAAAATCATTGTGAAAGACTATTAACATCACCAGTATCTCCATATGATTTCAGATGGTCCTGCCACCGTGGACCTGAGCTCAGACTGGAACCCTCCAATTGAGATGTGGGGCAATTATGAAGAGCACAAAGTAGATCCCCCCGCTTTGAAAGAGATGCCAGTTTCCAAGCCACTTGTGGTATGAAAAAACACATTCACTTATTTTTTGTAACTTATATCAACAAAACTTCTAGTAGATTTAACTAAGTATTTGATCTGGATGTAGGAATCAAATGATGACAATGACAAGGTAGATCCTGCAGGAGGTGGAAAATCCAAAAGACGAAAGAAAAAGAAGAGACCGGAAGAAGATGGTTCAGCTGAGGTAACCATCATGTTTCGATTAACCCAAGTAGTGACACAATGAACGAATACTTAAATTCTGCATGACTGAACAAGTTGTACGTTCCTCTTCCAGGTGACTCAAGTAGGTTCTGCTCCTGCAGAGAAGACTGTCAAGCCTCATCCTCCTCATGTTCCAAAAGAAGAGGGATCCAAGCAAAACATCCCTCCACAGTCTTCACAAAGTGAGTGGATCTCAGATGATGAGCATTGGGTGGATCTAGTGAGAGTCAGCATTATTTTAGTATCATTGATACAGTATTATAATATATTTTCCGTTTTAGTTCAGTTTTAGTAATTTTGTTGTGTTTGTCATTTTTGTTCGTTTTGATAGATAGATAGATAGATAGAATGTTTAATCTGTTGGATTTAGTTATTTTAGTACTTCGAGTTAAACTAAATGAACATGTTTTATGTTTATTTTATTTCAGTTAACATTTATATAAAGTACTGTTGTATGGTTGTAATATCCCTAGTGAGAACGTTTAACAACAATAGCACATGTGTGACCTAATGCATTTGACCACATACAGCCAAAAAAGTCAAGTAAAAATGCTTTATTTTGAACTTCTTCTTTTTTCATTTTATTTTAATACCATTTTCCCATTACAGAGAATTTCTCCAGCATAATTTGGATTAAACGTTAAATTTAAAAATGTAAATTTCAGAATATCTTTGTATTTAAATCTTTTTTCCAAAATCCTAAAACTTTATTTTCAGGTTTAAATTACATTTTAAATCCTAGATGTTCAAAGTTGACTTTGGGACCCTGCTGTATATAGTAGTAGTAATAATAATAATAATAATATAACTAATAATAATCATGCTGAATAAAATTCTTTATTTTTGCTCCCACAGAGAAATCTGATCAGAATTGGGAACCACCGAAGCAAGTTCAGAAGAAAAAGGCCAGGAGAGAAACATGAGCCGTGAATAACATCCAGGATAGCTTATGCAAATAGATTGTTTATGCAATAATTTCACAGTACAGAATTTTATACTGATTAAATTTACTGTGCTTTTAAAAAGAAAGAAGTCCAAAATAGAAACAAAACTGAGTTGGAAGAACTCGGCAAAAAAAAAGACAAATATAGATTAAAGGTGAGCAGTCCATGGGCTGGAACACTACTATGTGCACTATTACGCTACACTGAAGTTTGTTAAGGAGTACTTATCATCCTTGATATCAGACATGCTTTCAGTGGAGCAAAACATTCATGATGATTGTTTTCAAACTGCTACTAAACTGATTTTGAAGTTGGAGTGTTGAATTTGATTTGGGAAATGAAGGATCTACTTGCTTTCCATCTATTACTGTTCCTGTGACACTTTAGTGCTGCTGCAGTCCAGCAGCTGCTGAAGTGTTGCAGTTACTGTTGAAGCCACAGAGAGGCGCTGCGAGCCGGCGTCTCCTCCAGCAGTACTTCTGTGGCGTCAGCTTGAGCAGTAAAAGGTGAATTACTGTAATCCTATAGATTGCTGTGGTGGAAAACCAGAGAACGGTTACATTACAGAGAACTTTTTTTATGCTAAACCTATTTTCTTAGAACTTTTCTTCCGTCCTGATTACATATATATATTTTACCCATATAACTGGGTATGTTATGACTCTTCCCTTTTTAATCAACTACTAGTTGACTCCAATGCTTTATTTCCTGCAAACTAAAGTAGAAAAAGCCACGCCATATGTATAGAACTATAAGGGCTTTTTTCTATGGTAAAACTCTTTGTAATTGCACTGTGCTGAAGGTTGTAAAATACCATGTGTATTTACTTTTTTTTTTTCTTCTTCTTCTTGCACAATGTGAACATTTGATTTTTGTCCATGTTCGTTTTGACTGAGTAAGTTAGTAGGCTTGTGTGATTTTTTAATTGGGAATGTTGATGATGATTAGCGCAGCTTTAATTCCATGACACTAAAACAGTATAAGTATCAGGAATCTGTTGCCTTAATCTATACTTAGTAGTGTATGCTTTCTGTTCTCTTCCATTTTGAAGTCTTTTTAACAGGTTTGGCATTTTATTTAGTTTCAGATTTAATTGATGTCAGTGTTGCACTTGCATGAAGTTAAAATCATTTATAGTGATGCACAACGTCCTGATTCTCTGTCCAGTCGTGCAAGTACCACTCACTGTAAATAGGCTTTAATGAATGATGAATGACGACGATGATGATGATGAATGGATGTGGGGTGGGTTTGGGAGGGGTGGATTTTTAATGCATATTCATATTTAGGTTGACTTAGTGGTGTTTTGCCCATGGTCGTTTTGTAAATTTCAGTAGATCATGTCTTTCTGAGGCACTCTGGGCTAGCATCGGATGCCTGCCTTGGTTTATCATTCTAGAGGTTACTCAAGCGATGTATTTCTACCAGTTTATGGATTTAAGAATGATCATGTTTACTTAAGTCGATGCAATATTTCTATGTTGATTTGTTAAATAAAAGAAGATCGCTCTTTGAGCTTAGAACTGTTGATTTGTTAAATAAAAGAAAATGCTGTTTGGGCTCCGAGCTTTTCTTGTTGGTTTTTTAGGAATGCTAGCAACTCTAAGCATCAAGCCACACAAAAAAATTACACTTCTGCGAATAATTCAGCCAATAGTCTTGATCAATCTTACATTGATAGAACATTCAGAATTCAAATACAACCCACAGCCTAGTCATAATATTTGCAGGTTGAATTGCAATTAGTCATTTTTCGGTTGTTTTCATACTGACTTGTTATTGGCCTCGTTTAAATCTATCTTTATACTCCAAATACAGCACATTGTGTGTCTTTATTTATCCATCAATATTTGTGTTGACAACATTTCTAACTGCCGTTTTACACACTTCTATTGCATTGCAAGAACTAAGGAAATGCAAATTATTATTTTATTGCTTGTACCATTTTTTCCTAATCTGACATTTTTATAAAATGCACTAGAAAAATATGCTAGACAATGATTTGTTGGTTTGCTCGATTTTGCAGCATCCTGACAATAAGTGCATTGTCGCGTCACGTGTACAGAGACGACCTCTCCTGCCTTTTCTCATTTCATTTTAGATCTGTGGTACATTAATCCAGTGTTTCCCAACCGGGGTGCCGTGTAAAAAAATCATTTTTTAATATTTTTAAATTGCTAAAATGTTCAAAAAAGCATATATTATATAATATCCATTTCTGATGTCGCCAATAATTAGAGATGCACCGAAATTTCGGCTGCCGAGAATTAGTTCACCGCTCAGGATTCACTTTCACTTGATGTGACGCTCTGCGTATTATCCCGCTCTATGGGTGTGCGCTCCGCGCAGTCGCTCCACTCGTATACCGTTCATGCTCATCGGAACAGCAAAGTCCACTCAAAAATCGAGCCGACAGGAAACATCGATGTAGTACAGTATTCCAAAGGGTGCCGCGACTAAAAAAAGGTTGGGAAACACTGCATTAATCCTTTTTTATTGATTCATGTTTTTCCCCCCAAAGGGATAGGGATTTTTTTTTAGCAACCATGCTCTGTGGTAGCCATGCTATACTGTTGTTAAAATCTGATAAAGAAATATAGTTTTTCATCTGTTATAGTTTTTCATTTGTTAATTGATACAAGTAGGTATTTGCAAAGACTATGCTTTGGTATTTGTTAATCCCAATAATTATAAGAGTTATCCGTTTTTAAGGCAGTTGTCAAATATTTGTTTTTAATAAAGTAATTATTGGGAGTGTACTTGGCCACCAATATATAGCATTCAAACGATTTGGGTTAGCAACATTTTTAATGTTTTTGAAAGAACTCTCATACGCTCACCAAGGCTGTGATTGCAGTTCAGTTGTAGTTCAGCGTCACATGATCCTTCAGAAATCTAATATGGTGATTTGGTGCTCAAGAAACATTTATTATTATTATTAATATTGAAAAAAGTTGCGCTGCTTAATATTTTTGTGGAAACCACGACATTTTTTTTTCAGGATTCTTTGATGAACAAAAATGATGAAAATTTAAAAGAACAGCATTTTTTAATAGGTTTTTTTTTTCAGTTACTGTCACTTTTGAGCAAATGAGCGTTTATATTTAAATATATTTCTACAAGTTGTGAAAGTTCCAATTCCAGGTGAACCTGAGAACACTTCACTCTTTGTACAGCCACCATGTTGTTTTGCTGCTGTTACACTAATTTACATTGGCTGAGAGCTGTAAATCCCCTGATGCAGTGAAGGAGCTGCCGCCCACAGAGGCTTAGTTTAGCAGGCACACACACACACCGTCTCATTGGTATGGGTAGTATGGGCCATCTGCTCTCCTCCTGTGTCACGTAGAGCCCTGTCCTCATCAACACTGGATCCCTTCATATAATCTCACTGGACGAGATTATATGAACACTTGTGTAACCAAGGGAGAATAAATCTGAAGACATCTTTGCTCCGGTTTTTACCTGTTTTTCATAACTCCTGCCACCGTGGATAGTTCAGTCACTATAAAAGATTTTAATAGATGTATGATTTTAAAAAAGTGAGATCTTAATAAAATATCAGTTGTTTTTCCTTCACAGCCATGTCTAGTTTAAGCAAAGAGGCCAGCTGTTTTAGTCTTTTTTTTTTCCATTTTATAACTTCATATTCTTCAGGCTCGGCAAGTTAATTTTTTATTTATATATGTATTTTTTTATGTTTTAATTGTTATAGATTTCATACAATTTTGTTTTTACAATATTTGTATTTTTAGTGTTTCATAAATTATATTTTGTTTAATATTTATTTTCCTGTTTAAATTTTGCTGATAAACTCAGTTTTCATTGTGACAACTTGCCCCATGTTGAATGACAATATTGTTGTCACAACTCTATCTTCTTAAATGTTTACATCTCAAAAATAAATCAAAATTTTGACTTCCCGGCGTTTGAACAGCGGGCCCATGACGTCACGCCAAATCCCCCTCCGGTCACGTGGTGCGGAGATGAGCTGGATTAATGCGGCGGTGCGAAAGAACGGGACGCTAACGGGAAACGGAAACAACTCAGGATTTAACGGCGACCGAATGCTGCGACGGTGAGCTGTAGCTCTGAAAAACCATCGATTTATATAAAAAACAATAATATCGCTTCGAGCTAAAAAGACATACATGAACTAGCCGTGCTGTTTTTGGACGGAAAGATGATTTCTCCGTGGGACAGATGGTACACGACCAGCTGCTGCCTGTGCTGTCATGTACGAACCGGCACCATTATCCTGGGCATCTGGTATATGGTGAGCCAATACAACTCTTATATTAAATAACATATGTATTTATAGCCCTTCTGCTTATTTTTATATCCAACATAAACTATTTTGAATATGATTATCATTAGTAAGTATTAATTACACTAGTAGAATTCTAATTGAATTCCTTTTCAAATTTAGGCGAATTAAAATGAATAAAAATAGTCGTTTTTTGAAAATCTTGTGTACTTTTTTGGGGGGAATCCTAAACGTTTGATGTTTAAAATTCTGCGCACTTCTTTATAATGCGCAATAATATTGTCTAGGATATTGTGCTAATGCTACAGAGCAACACTGCTGCCATAATATGAAAACAGAATAAAAAAGAAAATCCGAGAAGCCTTAAATAATTTAACCACTAAACGATACCGTAATTACTCCCATGATGCCGTACTTCCACCTAGTCTTAATCTAAAAGTTGAGGCTTGTTTTAGACACCAGAGCCCTTTTACGTGATATAAATAGAAAAAAATAATCCTTGATCTTTTGCCAAAACTGTTAAAGGAAGTTTTGTCTTATCAAACTGTGTCCGAATGCTTAAATATAGGAGATGCAAATAAACAGCGGTAGATTATTCTGGTCACCTCCAGTTTCTTCTGCACTGCAAGGAACAGCAGAATTCATTAACCTAAAAACTACCGTGATGCTTATTGACACAGACAGGAAAATGCTGCCTGTCACAGACAAAACATTATCAGAGACAATGAATGAGGATAAAGGCAATGTGTGTCACAGATTAATTTCATTTTTGATTTGTCTGTTATGTAGAGCTAACATTATAATATGGTTGATGGGACTAATTTTGTTTAGTCTGGAAAGTCAAACAGCAATGTCAAACATTTCAGCAGGTCTAGAATAATATGTACAATTATATATAATATATACAATTTATATATATATATATATATATATATGTACACACACACACGCGTGCGCGCGTACATGCATATCATTAATAAATGAATTAATTAATTAAAACATGTATTATGAAAGTGAATGCAAATACTTTAGATTGTATGTTTATACTTCACACAAGATATTGCCTAATAACAAACTGAGCAGTACTCTAATCTGAACAGGTTATTCCAAAATGTAATTTACACCATAAATAGACCATAACGTTTTTATCTTATTCTGTTAGTTTTCACCCAAAAAATAATTTGTTGTATAATAATCTCTGTCTTTTTCAGCTCATCAATGCAGTGGTTTTGTTAATCCTGTTGTCGGCTCTCAATGACCCAGTCCAGTACCACTACCACCTCACCAGCTCTGAACTCGGCACGGATCTGGATGTCATGGACGATGCAAGTACGTTTGAGTCATTTAATCCCCTATAGTTATTAAATTCCAGTATGAGCAGCAAACAAGTCATCATCAACTTTTTAAGTTCAGCGAGAGCTCAAAGACTGCTATCGTATTTCACTGCTGTCTGTGCGGCTATAGATTCTGGCTCTGGTGACTTTGCTCTCATCAGCAGGATTCAAACTATGATTCCTTGTATTTGGTCTGGTTAGCTTTGCATCTGTTATATGAAGCCTGTTTTGTAATAGGCGCTGAAGTAGACAGAGTGTACGGTAGAGTGTCCTTTAACATATGCAGGGGATTAAGCTCTATTTCAAAGACCAGCACCACTGAACTCAATGTACTTCCAGTACTGAGAGCACGAGCAGCTCATATTAATTTGATAGAGTTACAGCATCACATTCAAAAGTGTCAGAGATTAGTAAAACCCTGTAATGTTAGCCATTAGGTTAACTCAATCCGTAATAGTAATTCAGGATGCCAGTGATAATATTATATACTCTAAAAAGTTGTAAAAGTATAAACTAAGGCCAGAAATCTCCCGGTTGGCAGTGAAGGAGTTAGAGGAGTTATTTCACTTGTTTTGCTCCACCATGTGCTTACTAGGCTATTTTATTATCTGTAAAGCTTTTTGTTTGTATTTCTCAATAATATGAGATATGCCTGTGTTTTGGTGGCTGTTTTGGAAACACAGCACTATAGATAGTAGGTCAAGTAACTAGTTCATGGTGCCTGTAATGTCTTGTGAGTGCTAGGCTGAGCTACTCAAATTTTAACTTAGGCGGGCAATGTTACTGGCTCGTATGTCAGTCTCGAGCTTTTTCTGATGAATTAGTAAGTTGGTTCATGAATGAATCATTCAAAAATGTACACAGATATATTTAATTGCATTTTCATAGAAATTTCAATGCTAAATAATTTATTACAATTGGCAGATAAACTACAATGCTTTTTTAAAAGAAATTTGACGGCATAATGACAATTCTTTACAATTTGCATAGATATATTTCAGTGCATTTTCATAGAAATTTCAATGCATAATAAGAAAATTCATAAAATTTTAGACAGATATATTTTCCGGTTTGTTGATAGTTCTGGCTATTGACACTAATGTTCGGATTTGTTTGAATTCTGATTAACAGTCTTAATTTGATTCAGTACAATTTCTAATAAATTCCTCATTCAGGTCAATATGATTTGGATCTTATTAGATTTATCTGGCCCAGTCTACATTTCAGTTATTACAGTTAATTTGTAGAAATATAGCCTTCAAGAAATTCTCTATGAACTTTACAAGGAACGCTCTTGACTTTGCATTTTTAAAACGTTTATTTTTAACATCAACACTATTAAAACAGTTGATTTTAAAAATAAAAACATTCATTCCAAGCATTATTTGAGTTTTTGTAGTGAGCTCAGCAGAATCTCGAAGTGAAATTAGCTGGATGCCAGTCAAAATAACATTTAGTGAAATTCTTGTCATATTAAAAGATACATTTTGGGATTTTTAGAACTGATATTTAGACCCAATCCTAGATGGTACATTTTGGCCGTTAGACTCAATATTGCTTGTGCAGATCTGATGTTGTGTGTTTCCTCTACAGACATGTGTATCGCTGCTGCAATCTCATTGCTGATGATTTTGATCTGTGGAATGGCAACCTACGGTGCATATAAGGTTTGACAACTTGCTTATTAAATGGATTATTCACCTAAAAATGAAAGTTCTGCCATTATTTACTCACCATCATGTTGTTCCAAACCCATGAGACTTTCTTTCTGGCATTGAACTTAAACACAAGGGGGAGTTAATAAAACAGAACTTCCATTTGGGATTGAAAGATGATTGAAGCTCATCAAATAAGATCAAGACTAAATTAATAAAATGAAATGCTTAATTCATCAGTTTGTGCTGCGTAGTAAAAAGATTTATTTATTTTCTTTCAGCAACATGCTGCATGGATCATTCCTTTCTTCTGTTACCAGATCTTTGACTTTGCTCTTAACACGCTGGTAGCAATAAGTGTTGTTGTTTACCCCAACACCATACAGGACTATCTTCAGCAGTTGGTAAGTATCTGATCTGACTCTTAAAATGTCAAACTTTGAGTATCATTCTATCATTCTGACTCCATGTGTCTTTGTTTTAACAGCCTGGGACCTTTCCATACAAAGAGGACTTGATGTCCACAAACAACATGTGCCTAGTATTAGCAGTGCTTCTCTTTGTTGGATGCATCTTAGCCTTTAAGGTAAAGAGAAACAACTGTACCGCTTTCCCTTTATTGTGATCTGCCAGATCATTTTGGTTGACTATAGCTAGATGTGATGCACAATAGCCTGCAGGATGACTGTGAATGTGACTGCTTCAGACAAACACTGTTTTGTCCTTCTAGAAGCTTGACTCTTCCAGTAGACTTCAGATGTGACACAAATCGCTTTATGACAGCCTGCACGCATTAGAGAGAGGCAGATTACTCTGCTGGGATAAACACAGTGTGCTAAAATTACCCTCTGCTCGCCTCCCATGCTGTTGTATGCATGACAGTCTAATAGGTTGTTTGTTGCATTGTGATCTGTCTAAATCAAACTGAATGCCTCTGAGAATGAACATCATCATTGAATTTAGTGGCAAATGTGTTGAAAAAACAGTTTAGACTGTAAATTTTACTAAAGGGTTCATTTCTTGAACCGTAAAAGCAGATATTTGGTTGATAGTTTTTAGGTTTGTCAGCATTGGATTAATTTTGCAGTTTTGGGTGAACTACTTCTCTAGCATAAATGCAAAAAGATAAAAGGTTATTATTAAAAATGAAGAATAAAAAAGAAAGGTGACCAGTTATGGCACAACCTTAGCTCATACTGTCGCTGTGTGTATTTTAAACAAAAAGTGGATTTTAAATGAAAAAAATCATGTTTATGTTATTTGTCCCATATGCTCTTGTTATAATTTTTTACCATCTGGAAATTAAATAGTGTAGACAAGGCACTGTATCTGTGGCTCATTATTTTTATTGCTTAAGCCATATGCACATGATTTATGGTGGTGTTTTATTTAGCATCAGCGGCTGTTCTTTCTCTTTTTCTCTTTAGGCTTACCTTATTGCCTGTGTGTGGAACTGCTACAGATACGTCAGTGGAAGAAGCACTACAGAGGTCCTGGTTTATGTCACCACAAATGACACTACAGTAAGTCAGAGGTTTATATGAACATAAACTGTTTAGCGGAGTCTTGTTTCTTTACACTCATATTTGCAGATGTCTCCATAATGGACACACATAGACTATTTCAGCTAAATGCTGTTCTTTTGAGGTTTCTATTCATCAATAATCCTGGAAAAATGTATCATAGTTTCCAGAAAAATATTAAGCAGCACAACTGTATTCAACAGTAATAAAAATAAAAGACTGGAGTAAAAGCTGCGTAGCAAAGCTGCTAAAAATTCAGTTTTGCCAACACAGGAATAAATTACATTTAAAAATATATTAAAATAACTATTTTCTATTTTACATTGTAATAATATTACACAACATTAGTTTGTACTGTATTTTTTATCAAATACATTCAGTCTTGGTGAGCATAATAGATTTCTTTTAAAAACAGAAAAACTGACAGACTCCAAACGTTTGAATGGTAGTGTAATTATGGATAATAATCATAAGGAGTTTGATCATTCTGTTTCAGAATTTGATTCCATTTAATACACCCAGTTCCTCACTGATTCCATTAATGATTCTTTTAGTACATGTAAGGAGGCAACAAATGCAAGATACTAACGATATTATACCATATAAAGCTATATGAGATTTATATTTTTATAAACGAAATACAGAATTTAAAAATATATATTATTTTGGTAACATTTAAATTACTATAAATACATAAACATTGAAATGCAAAATAATTATTTTCTGAATGTATATCTTTAACTTTTATTATGATCTGGACAAAGTAATGAATCACTTTGAATTGTGTAACACAATGAATTGAATATTATTTGAAAGGCTGATACGAATCATCCGGTTCGGTTCCCGGCCCAGCATGTGATTCAGTCATAAAAACAGTCTCACATAGTTTATCTCTGCACAGCTATAGGGGATGTTCTGACGTGCATCGCAGCAGGATCATGATGACGGTCTCCTCATGCCCTCTGTGTGTTGAGTCAGTGTTTATGGAGGGCATTAGAGAGGGCAGTGTGCTGTGCTCCTCTACTGCCTCTAATCCCACTACTGTCTGCCATAAGTAATCCTGTCTTACTGCCTCTGTCTGTCTGTCTGTCCTGCTGCTCTGTTGACCCTCCAGTCACTGACAACTCGCATGTATGAAGAGTTACATTTAATGTATTTGACAGATGCTTTCATCTAAAGTGACTTCGAGTGCTTTGAAGGAATGCATTTTATTTGTATGTTTATAATTATTAAAAAAAATTTTTTGGGGGTGGGTGATCGGACTAATTGGATTGCCCGGGTCATTCCACAGATGGACAACCAGTATAATGAGTGGTCAGATGCTTTAAAAAGAGACAGAAAGAACTGAAATAAAAGGCCATTGAGAAGCATGGGGCTTCTTCACCATTCAGCTGCGGGCCGTTACATAACTGTCCACACTTGTTTGGTTCATTTGAAATCCGCATTCCAGCCATCCTGACAAGGAGAAAATGTGATCCCCTCAGGGCATTCATGACCATATTACTAATTAGCTCACCTTTTCATAATAACAGAGAATGTTTTGGGCTGGTTTTTCTGTATAGGGAGAATGAACTTCCCTCTGCGGAGACAGATAGCATTTAAATTTAAGATGAAGGCATTTCCTCTGACCCAGAGTTGCTTAAAAATGCTTTAGTTTTATGTCTAACATGGCTAGCAAAGCAACACTAATTTTATTTTTCAAAAGGTCTTTTTTTACAGATAGAGACAGTAAGGTCCTCTAAAGCACCATAGATCAATGGCTATTTTCAAAACATACTTCCATGCTACACTTATATCTTCAGTATATATTATGTATACTTTGCCAGGGTTACTATCGTAACATATAACATAAAATATAAAAACATTAAACTTTTATTTTAGCTAGTTACCAAGGCAACATTTCTCTTTTTAGTTGAAGTACTAAAAACTAAAACTTAATAAAAACTATGTAGACGTATTTGAATAAATAAATAAAAATGACAAAAGCACAACAAAATGTAAACTTTAACTTAAGTTAAGCTGAAAATATAAAATCTATAAATAAAATCTTATTCAAAATACCAACAATACAATACTAGTATATCCAAGATACTAAAATATGTACGCTATGTAAAGAAATACCTAGATGTACAGAGCCCCAGAACATGACATATAAAAGAAAAAATAGATCTTGTGACCACGAATTAAGAATTTGTTCACACAACTTATTAATTCCTGGCCATGTTTTATTAATTTGGTCCATTGTTTTGGTTCAGGGCCACTTTGTACTTATTTCTTCCCTCATTTTAGTTAAATTGTAGCCATGTTGTAATAATTTGTTACCTAGTTTTAATTTAGGTAAATCATGATTTAAAGGGTTAGTTCACCCAAAAATGAAAATTGTCATTAATTACTCACCCTCGTGTAGTTCGAAACCTGTAAGACCTCCGTTCATCTTCAGAACACAAATTAAGATATTTTTGATGAAATCCGAGAACTTTCTGACCCTGCATAGACAGCAACACAACTGACACGTTCAAGACCCAGAAAGGTAGTAAAGATCTCGTTAAAATAATGATCATCAGGGGTTCAACCTTAATTTTAGGTAGCTATGAAAATACTTTTTGTACGCAAAGAAAACAAAAATAACGACTAAAAATGAGGGAATGAATTTAGTTGTGGAAAATGAATTCTCAATTTGTAGTCCTATTCCTTTTTGTTCCAATGTGACATTGTGGCTGCATTTGCCAAAATGTCCATTTGCTGACTAGAGTAATGTATCCCACAATGCAGTGCTCTCAACTTGACCAATTATGTCCAATGTGACGAATGAACCAGAAGTGATATTAGACATGATTTCTTTAAACTCTATCTAGACTCATTATGTTGAGTTGAGACATTTCTACACAAAATTGTGTAAGCATTCTAAGTAACAGTTTATTTTATACAGAAATATAGCCCCCTCTGTTTAAAACTTTTTATTTGGCATAACGTGTTCTGTTTCATACTAGTTTGAAATCTAATTGGCAGTTTATAGTATAAGCTAATATTCATGACAAACAGCATGTGTGCTAATGGCTACAGCAGCTCAAATTATTCTCTAATTGTTTTCATTCTTTGTGTCTTGATTAATCTAAGAATATAGTGTACAACAGAAAAGGAGAACATAATGTATACGTAAAGCAGTTACTAATATATTACTGCTTTATTTTCAGGTACTACTTCCACCCTACGAGGAGGCCATCGCCATTCCACCGAAGGATCCCCCTCCTCAGTACGTTTCAGCTTGAGAATCACACCGCTCTCTTACTACGCTCCTCCCAAACCTTCTCCAAAGACACAATCTCCGTCACAATAGCCCTGGTCTCCTGTGTGTCGCTGTGTGACGTAAGTCTCCTCTCTCCTCTCCTCTCCTCTCTGGAGGCAGCAGTATGACTTTGAGATGCCCTTCCCTCGACGAGGCTGCCCAGCTGTCCTGGCAACCCAACGCTGTGTGTCAGCTCCAATCTGATTTGCACTTTCGGCGATTATGTGCGGCCCTGGCCTTTTTAATACTGTGAACTACTCCGTAGTGTTGTTGTCTACAGATATACCTGAGATTTGAATGCGGCGTGCATGATAAAAACGGGAGTTACGTAAGAGCACTTTTAAAATGGGAATTACCTAGAAATATACTGAATGTAAGAAACCGGCATTTTCACTTTAATTTCGTTGTACTGTACGAAATAAATATGACTAATTTTTATTCAGAATATAACTAAATTAGTTGTAAAAAAAAATTATGCGAGCAATTCTACACCATTTTATCTAACATAGTTAAATCTTTTAAGTCTTCCTTTATACACAATGTCCCAAAACATGATGCAATCATTGATTAATATTCTCTTTCAATCAATCAAATGCTAATAGTTAGTTTTAGGTGGTTTAGATGTCGCAAAGACTGAACAATCCTGCTGCTTGTGAACAGTTATAAAGCTGTATACACTTAATATCTGTGAAACTGGTTTAGATTTGAAATCAAGTAGATTTGAAACATTTTAAAGATAAACATTTTAAGGATCTGACTTCAAATTAAAGGACTTGTCGCTTGTTTACTTAAATAAAAACAAATTAAATAAAAAAAAAAGCAAAAATTTGGCTTAAGGTGCCGTCACATTTACCATTGTTTCACTAGGAATCCATGCGATTAGGAATTTAGTTTGATGGTGAAAGATTTTACACTAAATCTTGCACGCAAATTCTCCACGTTGACGAACAAAAGCTGCTTGGTTTGAAAATTGACTTCTGTGTGAGCTGTGCTTCAGACATCACTACGCTATTGACGATACACAATGGACCTTTTTTGTCTCAACATTTTCCTAAACTGTTGGTAATGTAAATGCATCTTTATAGTTGAGGTACTTAGAATGGAAGTGAATTGGGCCAATCTGTTAAAGTTACACGGTGTGTGTTAACATGATTTCAGTGTAAAAAAAAACCCACAAGCTTTTTCTATGTTACGGTATATCCCATTTTACAATTTAACCCCTAAATTGATTATTAAAATAGATTCATGGGATAGTTCACCCAAAAATGGAAATCCTGTCGTTAACTACCAAGTTCAAGGCCCAGAAAGGTAGTAAGAACATCGTTAAAATAGCCCATGTGACATCACTGGTTCAACCGTAATTTTGCGAAGCTACGAGAATAATTTTTGTGCGCAAAGAAAACAAAAATATGCATTGTTGCGTCGTGGTACTCCCATGAATGCGTGTCGAAGTCTGACGCGGAAGAGAAGAGATTGTTGAATAAAGTCGTTGTTTTTGTTTTCTTTGCACACAAAAAGTATTCTCGTAGCCTCCTAAAATTAAGGTTGAACCACGGATGTCACATGAACTATTTTAACGTTGTCTTTACTACCTTTCTGGGTCTTGAACGTGTCAGTTGCATTGTTGTCTGTACAGGATCAGAAAGCTCTCGGATTTCATCAAAAATATCTTAATTTGTGTTCCGAAGATGAACGAAGGTTTTAAAGGTTTGGAATGACATTGTCAATTAATGACAGAATTTTCATTTTCGGGTGAACTAACCCTTTGAACAGCTTTACAGCTCAAATAATACACCGATTTTAAGAGAAATATTAAAGTAAGTGCTTTTATGAAATTAGAAGCTTCACACCTAAAATCCTTTTTTTTTTTTAAATGGCTCCATTCACTTCCATTGTAGGTGCCTAACCTACCTTAATTTTTGCTCCTCCTTTTTTTTAAAGAAAACAAGGGACCAGACCATTTTTGTGGTAATCAACATTATGCCACAAATGCTGTCGACTTATCTTGACTTGCATTGAACCAGACAGTGCTCAGTGAATAAATTAGAATTATGGGTGTTAGGAAATAATTTTTGTCATTTGGTGAACTTACACGCTCCTGTTTAGAGAAGTAGTGTAACTTTTCTGTCATTATCACTAGGTTACAATCTGTGGCTGCAGACTGCAATGTTTTTGCACATGTGAATATTATTCATTCATGTTATTGTCTGTGATGAATGGTGTGTTAATCAGTAATTGTGACAAATGAAAAGTAAACGATGTGACCCCGACAGTAGATTAGCATGTAGCCGAGTTAAGATGACATGCCATTTCCCCCAGTCACCTTCTAGCTCAAAGTAGCTTCTGTTATTGGGAACATTTTTAATTTTTATATACAGTGGCTATGCAAGGGTATTTTGTAACATGTATCCATAGCTGAAAATGACTATATACTTACATTTATTCATCATGGTAACATTAGATATAGAAGCATTAATGGAAGTATTAGAGATTGATAGATGTAGGAATTTTCTTTCATTGTTCTGTGCGTAGACTTACATCCTCAGTTGAGCATCTCCGAATTAGCTTCATATAAGCAATGTTTTATCATGAAACACAATTTAAAAAGATTCTGTGTGTTTGGAATATTACTTTTGGTATTGTGACCTGTAATTTGTATTATAATATTCTCACAATATTTCTCATAAAAATGAAGTAATTATCAATGGATATATCACAATATGAATTCTCAGAAACCCAGAACAATGTCTGTCAGTAGGTAGAATGCCTGTGAATGTTTGTCTTTGTCTTGTTACACATCCTGTATTGGGTTGACACTGGCTTATGTCTTGTTTCTAAACAATAAAATATTCCAGTAATGCTTCGTTATGGCTGTCTTTTGCCTGATGTCTGTGGAAGCCCATGGAGATCTGGGATAGATCAGAGTGGATTGACTTCACAATTTGGCATTACCTTTGCTTGACCAGAGGAGACGGATTCACCTACCATCAGTCCTGCCTCAGCAGAACTGTGTCAGGGTTTTTACCAATTACTTTGGTTACAAGAAACTGAAATATATTATGCACTTCATCCACTGACCTATTTTTGATGGTCCAAGGATGCTGTCCAGTGATGCTTCAGTATATAAAACTAAAAACACAGCCTGAGGCTGAAGCTCCTTACTGAAGCACTGTTGCGATCTCATGCACATCGCTCCAGTTCCCTATTTATCCTTTAATTTTGTAAGCTCACTGAACATGCTCAGTTGAGGCTGATTATATTTATCTGTGTTGGTACTTAAGAATTAGACTTCAAAACTGACTACACGTGACTGAGGAAACTAGGGCAATCACTTCAGTGAAGAGAGCATTTGATGTTTTCTCTGCTCAAGTGCTTTAGGCCTGTCAGATTTTTTTGGGGGGGCTGAAAATCCTTAGGGGGGAAAAAAAGTATGTCATTGCCGCAGCACGTTTCTAATGCCTCAGCCTCATCTCAAGGGCTGCAGTAAATCACTGGGGAGTATGTGAGCAATTTTGAAACAAGGTTTTTAAATATAATACAAAAAAACTCACAGATGGTCTCATTTTGCATGTTTGCCTTGTTTAGAGAGTATTAATGTGCCTGGTTTACACAAACTGTGCCTATTTATTGCCGACACTGGCACATTGCCACTGCAATTACATTTTTTTATTTTAATTCAGATAACTGTGGAGTTGAGCAATTCAAATATCTAGTCAAATATTTTATCCTCAAACCTGTAAAAGAAAAGTCAACCTCTTCTAATTTTATATATTAAATATTTGTTCAAACTGGCATATGCCATTTAAAATGAGGAAAAACTATATGAGCAAAATATAATTGGTAGCATTAAGTATTAAGTAGTTATACAACAAATATTTCAGTTAAATCCAATGGATGACCAGCCTTTCGTTTAAGACTGCGTAACACAATTCTGTATCAACAATTTATAATTTAGGACTGGGCTACAGAAATTTTCAAACCAAAAGATAACATTTAACTGCAAAACTAAGAAAAAAAAATGCATTACATATTGCACCCTCTAGTGGCAGACTTGTAATACATATTGAAGTTGTGAATGTGTAGCTTTAGATTCATCCCATTGCTGTGGCTCAAGTTGAATTCACAGCACACATAGTCATTTTTACTAAAATAAAGAAGATATTGGACTCGGTTCATGCTTTTAAGAAATTGGGAAAAATAAACATTTCCCAAGAGCACATCAAGGATTCCAGAAACAGATGTCATGTTGATCTTTTTTAATAATAATAATAAAAAAAACTTGAATAACTGAAACATAGTGACTAAACAATATCCCATTTCTCAACATTATCAAAAGATGAGAAGGGGAAACGCCTTTTATCCATTAGACATCAAGTCTGAACAAAAGCTGAGACAAAAATAACCAAAACCCACAAAGACCATTTCAACCAATTTTATTTCTAATAAGATCTGGTGGAAATGGCTCTACTTCTCCCCCTGCTGCTGCTGCTGGTCTGGCATGCTTCTGATGATGTCAGAATCACCTATCAACACAAGAGAAAGGCATTAATGACAGAACAACTCATTTAACCTGACACAATGTTACAATATTAATGTTGAGAATACATAAAGGACAGTCAGACAATGTCGAAGATGCTCTAGAGTTCCACATTGGATTCAAAATATCACAAAACATACCAGCAACCTTTTAAATGTACATCTACTTTGACATAATAATCTACTAAACCAGTTAAAAGGGAAAATTACAGTAAATCAAAAGTGTTTAAGATCAAGTCACATCAGTTGTCCCACTGAAAGAAACCGATGCATGAATACACACCAGGGTCAATGATGGCCAGTGTGCACACCCTGTAGTATTTGCCACAGGCTGTTCCAAGCTCAATGTTGTTTCCACTGTAATGATGGACTCCGGTTTTGGCCAACATTGCATAATACTCAATCTCAGATTTCCTAGAAGGAAAAAAAAACATGAATCATTAAAACATCCTCAACCCTTATATAATTGTATTGACTAAGACACTACAGATTATTTGCATAACGACGGTGGATTCACAGAGCACACACCTCAGAGCGGGACAGTTGTTGGCCAGGATTACCAGTTTGGCTTTTCCTTGGCGAATCATTTTCTGAGACTGCTTGTATCCGAGAACGTATTTACCGCTCTTCATCACAAGCTGCAGTCTGGAGTTAATGGACTCCAGGGACTTTTTCTGTAAAGATGAAGATAAAACCATGAATACACCTACAGCACAGAATGTAAAAAAAAAATAAAAATAAAACACTTTGACAGAATACAGTGACTAACATGTCAAATATATTGTACATCAGACTATTATCAATAATTTCTTTGACAGGGGTGTGAATTCTGTATATTAATCTTGTGCACTAGACTAATGTGCATTAAGTCTAGCACATTAATATAATAATAGTTACACATAATTTACATTTCCAAAGCAATTCAAAAGTCACATCCCATTCACACTATGAAGATCAGGTCAATGAACTTATAAACAGTGTATACATAATGTGACCATATCACGTCTGCTTCACAGACAACTACAATACTATATCTCAATGACATTTTATAAGTATTGCTCCCGTACTACATTCATTGCACATTGGGACATCATGATTTATCGAATGCGGCTTTAATTTACATAATAAGCGTTTGTCTTATAAAGACGCGTCACGTTTTGTGGAGACACTTATATTAAATATTAATAATGGTATATACAATACAAAACAAATCCTCTGTAAGTTACTAGAAACATCCTGTCAAGCAGCTGCACTCCTGAACTAACTCATTTAGCCCACCCAACAGCCCGTCACCGAAGAGACAAACATTTGAACCATATAATGCATATTAACACTTCAACTGCGTAACTTTAATCTTATATATCAGTATTTGTGGATAAAAACGTGTTGGTTTTTATAATCAGGCCTGTAGCGGAGCTTCCACGTGAAATTCTCCAGCGCAGCATCGCGCTCCACTCACCGCTTTCTTTGCGGCCACCATTTTTCCTGATTAGTCCGATCTGGCCAACCTAAACACAGAAGAGCGACAAATCAAGACATACACTTTCAAAATTATGCGTTTGTATCCTTGACAGAAGTCTTAAAACGAGTATTTTAATAGTTTCCGACAGAGCCGCTCTCACCTCCTGATCACACCAAGATGGCCTCGTAGAGAAAGGGCTTCCCAGCGTGCACCGCGCGCGTAAACCTCACGCGCCCGCCTCGAGACCACAGATCTCAGAACAGTCACCCTGTGGCGTGTATTCAGAAGAGAGTCATATATTAATTATAATAGTCTAATGCCATGGAGTTAAGTCCTTATTAATTTACACAACTTTTCCATATTTAGAAATCACACATTTAAAATCATGTTTCCTCGTATATCTAAAGTTTTCAAGAGAATGGGAACCCTGGTTCTTAAAAGGAAAAAAAAAAAACAGTTGAGGGAGTAAGTTTAAATAATAAATATCTTGATTAATTAGTTATTTTAGTTTATTTTAATGCTTCTTATTTTAAATATCATCTTGAGGCTTCCTCTGAAGTTTTCTGATGCTCCTTAATGGGTTGAGAACCACTGGCGATGGCTTGCTCAAAAAAACCTGTAGACCTACCTGTCAAACTTACATACTCATTCCTCATTATTACTATTTTGAACATAGTAGCCTATAGACAAATATAGTCATAAAACTACGAAATTACAAGAACATCTGAAATGTTCTTATTCTTATAATTTTGTTACTTTGTCTTTTTATTGAAGTGTGAAAGCATCTCAGATATTTTTCCTCATCCACCCAAAGTCAGTTTGAAGTGGTACACTATGGGCAAATTGTTTACAACATGCATCCTCATTCAGTTATGGAGTTTATATCCTCATAAACTTATGAAAATTAACCATGGGTACACTAACCTTAACCATATTTGTAGTAAAACTGTGGTTAACTCATTGCCATTTATTGGAAAAAGACAGAAAGGCCTACCATAACTCATTGGTTAAGAGAAATATCTTCATGCATTGCAATGGAAAAGATAACCTATATGCTTAAGGGTAAACAAGCTAAATTTAAGAAAATCTGGAGTCCATTTTTATTATTTATTGAATGTAGGGATATTAACAATATAATAGAGGATCAAAATTCTTGATTGGGTATTTAAATATATTTTAATGTGCATTATATTAACCCCTTACAACTGCGGTTGTTATTGTTTGCAATGGATTATTAAATCTAACTTCCAAAGTAAAGACTGTATTAACCCTTTGTTGGTTTTGTGCTTTACACCTTTTATGTAATATGAGCCCCTAGTGTTTGTTTGTTTGTTTTCTTTTCTTTTCTGTACATAGTAAGTATTGTTACAGACACGGTATGTACATGTGTCAGTCTTGTGTTTCAAGAAAATGTAATAAAAATAATATTACAAAAAAAAACAAAAAAAACACTGTGGTTAAACAAATTACAATCTGCCAAAAACCATGGTTAGGCTTACTACTCTTTAGTAAAACATGGTTATTTTCCGTATTTCCACAATGGAAAATTAATGGATAATGTCCTGGCAGAAAATTATCAGTAGGCCTACATTTAATCATTTTTTTTCAGTATGTGCTACAATTACACAAATATATTTAAATGTAAAATGTACCTAATGCCTTGATGAATGAATCCATGGATTCAACATATGGGGGGGTTCAATATCAATTCATATGTGTATTTACTGTACATAAAAGGGGATAAAAATATTATGTTAAATGCAGTTGAATGCCTTTTTTATCACCATTTTAAACTTGGGGTTAAATTCAGTATTTGCATGCATTCATTATGTATACTTATATAAGTATCATTTAAAAAAAGGAACTTTTTTAATTCCACATTTAAAAATATAGTGTTTAATCATGTCTAAATATTTCTTCAAATTAAAAACCTAAAAATAAGTATGCAGGTACGACCTGCAATATTCTAGATACAATTTAGTAAAGAGCCATACAGGTATTAATAATATTAATAGTATTAATAATATAACATAATTTGTCATTACACATTTTTTTTTTCTGACCACAAAATGACTCTAATTTGCCTCTTTGCATTTGAATTAAAAATCCTTTCTTTATTTTAACCTTAAATACCACACTAATTGTAATATAAGCAATAGAAATACTAGAAGTCATTAATGGACCATAATTATTGCACAAATGGTATTTAGTACCACCAAAAGATCTCCTTAAAATATTAAATAAATATTATTGAACTAAAATATAGAACATTTATTTAACTGAAAAAGGGTTAGTGATGGAAAACTTGCAGGTCAATGGGCATCAGTGTTTAAGGTTGGTAAACACGCGTACACGGACGCATATAATACTACCCACCTGACATTGGCATGTGTTTTTCAGGTGTCAAAGTTGTGCAGAGTTGAATGAAGAAACCTCAAAGAGAGTGCCAGAAGGATGCTGGACAGGTAAAGCCTACAAATCTTACCACATTAATCAAACATTGTGGTGTCAATATTCAATAAGTTACAACATCATAATATTTATATTTAAGTGTATTGTATATATAACATTTTATTTTGTCATTAATTCTTTTGTATTTTTATCATTTTGTATTGTCTTAAGTTGTCCAAGTTGTTAAAATTTTTTTTTTTTTTAATAAAAGCTGTATGTATGGATTGACATTTTGTTGTCTATTAGATGTATATATGTAGTCGTTTAATAGCGGTCTAATTGATGACTAGTCTATAAATGGGCTATGATTAGACATCTATTAGATTTTCACTGACAGCCCAAATTTAGCCTCATTTTAGCTTAGACGTCTAGGCTATATTTACACGTTTAATAGACGTCTTTTAAACGCAAAATTGCTTGCTACTGCAGTAGCCTAATGCGTATAAATGAATTTCACTAAGGTTAATCAGTGTTTTTTCATTTCACTAGTGTTTGTAAGAGGCTTTTCCAGTAATGCATATGAATTAATTTCACTAAGGTTTATCAATGTTTTTAGTGTTTGTAAGAGGTTTTTCAATAATTATGGCCTACAGCCCCACGCAACCTTTAAACTGAAAGCAAAAGTGAATGTGAGTGAAAATGGGTGTGTTAAGGGTGATAGATAAACCACGTTTCCTTGTTGACACCGACATAATAGAAATCCTGCTCTCTTGATAAGGTCGAGTGTTAACGCGATGGAGGTGGACAAATATATCTTGACTGAGGCGCTCTCTGCTATTCTGGGAGTCACGGTGAAATTGCAGTCAGATTGTAAGGGTTTAGATGGAGTCATACAGTTGAATATTACCAGTCTGACAACTGTTGCCTTTCTTGGTTATGAAGCATTTGCGCTTGTGGTCCAACCCGTGTCTTATCTAACAACTTTACTGACGCGGTGGTTTGTTGGTGATCAGCAAAATTCACAAGAGACCTCGAAGAACGAAAGCGCGAACTCTTCTCTCCGAAAGGAAATATTTGCAATCCCGGATGACTTTTTCGACCCAAAGTTTGACTTTGACTTCACGAACATGTCCGAGTCAAAGTCTGATGAGTGCACACGCGGGGACGAGCCGTACAAGCGGCCCTACGGCTGGATGCGCTTTGCTCTGAAGGTCCGGGACAAATATCCGGACGGGAACGCTTGGCTGGGAACAAACGGATGGAGGAGCCGTTCAGTGCCCGGTGAGTGGCCCGTCTCTTACCACGGAACCAATTTAAAGGGGGCCGAGGGCATCGTACAGACTCACTTCAAGGCGGGAGACCGTCAGGCGTACGGAAGAGGGGTTTATTCATCTCCAGACATCAACGTGGCGGAAGATTACGCCACAAGTAAGAAATTCACGTCGCAAAAGAATGGAAAGACTTACAAAGTCATCATGCAGAACAGAGTCAACCCCAATAACAGGAAAATCATCAAGGAGAATAAATTTTGGTTGGTCCCTATACCAGAAGGGACATCTGCTGATAAAGAGAAAGAAATCGTGGAGAGCTCAATACGCCCATATGGCCTTCTGCTTAAAGAGGTGTAGGAAGCTGAACATGCCTGTTGAAATTGCTCTCAGAATTGAGCTTACTCTTCAACAAATATTTCCAATTTAAAATATTGAAAAGACTTTGACTTTTGGCTAATGATATAGTTAATTACCACCTGAAAAGCTAAATCAAAACTTGTATTAATCTATTGGTGAATTCTTTAGGCCTACCTTTTCTGTTCTCTGCCTTTTTAGTGTAGCCTATGTCAAGAAATTTAAAAGACAAAATTACCAAAGTTTTATAAAATAGGACATTAGGCTGTTTCCACTGAAACAGGACAATTATATCAATTTGACACATTCATTCACTGATTTCATCATTTTAATAGACTTCTTATGTCCTTTAAGTTCTAGAGAAAATGAAAATTACTCAGCTTCAGTGGTTCACAGAAGGACTAAATTCCATAAAACATTATGCTGTTGAATTATAAAATTCACGAAGGGAAAGACTCAGCTGATTTATCTTCCATGAAGTGATAGGTTCAGCTCTACTTCCTCTTGTTCAAATGTCAAATACTGCAGTAAATAAACCTTTTACTTTTTTTTACCTTTCTTAATGAATTTTGTATTCTAAAACAAAAACAAGTTCTCTGATAATTAGAGAAATATATATTTTCTCTCAAAAAACAATGTTATGTATGAAATAAAGTTTTACAACCCTTCTGTTGAGATTGATTGGAGTACTGCAGGATTTTAAATGTATTTTGGCTACTTAGGTGTGGCTCAAAAAAAGAGAGTACTTTCGGCGTCTGTATAATACGCAGAATATTAGAGATGTAGAATTTATCTGATCCCTATATATGGAGGGAGAACGGGTTGAAAAGTGGCCTTTTGTCTCCTCGCCAATCCTCCAGCAGAAGATTTACTGGTTGCACTCCGGACGAGAAGTGCTGCATTAGGTTAAAATGTTCTCAGCGTTACTCACTGTAATTGCGTTTTTTACTCGTATACAATGCCAATTAGAGAGCTTTCTAAATCAATTCTTACTAGTAACAATTAAAATTAGAGAGCTTTGTAGTAAGAATTGAGTTGTAGAGCTCTACAAAAAAATGCAATTATGTTGAGTTACGCAAGGGAACATTATAAGCTAAATGGCTTGTGTTGTGGCAAAAACAATTATTAACAAATAGCATCACAGTGTCTGAGACAAGGAATCAAATTATATTTAAGGAAAGAAGTTTATTTTCCTTAAAGAGGTATGTTCACAATGTTTCAGCAGCTACCCTGAAACACAACAGACCTAAAATCACACTGAAAACAGACAGCCTTATTATACTGTTATCACCCCCCACTTCTTACAAGGTTCCTTCTCTGTAAATTTCCACTTAACCCCGTAAACCAAACCTAGCTGTTTTCAGAAAAAACAATGGTCCTTCTAACCCCCTGGGCTTTTATTATCTTCACATCTGTGAGGTCAACAACCCCTCTGTTCAAAGGCTCTTTCTGATCATTTGTTTTTACTGTGTGTTTGTGTGCCTTCACACCCGTGAGGTCAAAGGTCTTTATTTATGACTAACCCCTCTGTCTTTCCTGATTAAATTACCTGCACTAAAGACTTCAAAGGCTCTCTGTTTTACTGTGTGATGTCTTTGTTGCATTCCAGGTGACATATATATACATATTGAGAGAGGAACACAAGTTAAATCAAAAGGAAAAATAAAAAATAAATATAAAACCCCACACAATGTCTAAGAAAGTAAATAAGAAAGAGTAAAACATTAATTTTCCTACAACACTTGCCATAGGCGGCAGCCATCAGTAAATCTAATCACTGGAGGCAAATTTCAGTGTAGGAGCTCTAGTGCTTGCGTGCAAAGTGATAGGACAATTCAAATCATAACCCGCCAAACTGGCTAGTGAGTTGATATGTACCTGGCTGTAACGGTTAATTTACACTCGCATTTTGAGAGTTGGTGGGTGTTTATTTCAAACCCTGACTGTAGAATAATAGAATCAGATCACCAATTCAAAACCCATAATTACAATTGTTTATAAATAAGAAGAGAGTTTTTGTTGGCTCAAAACCATTTAACAAACCTTTATTTTTAATAGTAAAATTAGGGACAAAACTGATGCACGTATGCACTCAGAATTGTTATTATGACCATAGACTGTGATTATGACTCACGTAGACCAGTGGTTCTCAACCCTGTCCTGGAGTACCCCCAAGCACTGCACATTTTGTATGTCTCCCTCATCTATCACACCTGATTCAACTCATCAGCTCATTAGTGGAGACTGCAAGACCTGAAGTGGGTGTGTCAGATATAGGGAGACATACAAAATGTGCAGTGCTGGGGGTAGGCTACTTCATGGAGAGGTTTGAGAACCACTGACGTAGACGACACTCTCAGAGCTCTAAGTTACCCTGCTAATCTCTATTGGCCACAGAAATCAAGCACCAAAATCCTTCGACACAACCACCACCACCACCATTGCTGGCGGTTCAGTGATCATGAATGCAAGCAAGGATTCCCAAAAGGGTTACAGTACGCCATCATGGAAAATATCCACCAGAAGAGCAAACGACCAAACGGATAAAATCATTGTCCATGCAGGCGCAAATGACATCAGGAAACAGCAATTTAAATTTCTAGAACAGGATTTTATTCAACTCCACGTCCTCAGTCAGTGTGCATAACATCAGGCCGATACCCATTCATCTAATTATTCACTCCATCTCCCACCAAACTGACACACTACCTACATTGGCAGATAGAAAAAACAGGAGGTCTCTGCAGAACAAAAAGGCCATTTCCCAATCAGTGGGCGTTTAAAAACGGCTTCACATGACTGGATAAATTAATTAAGGCCCACCCTCTAGAGCAAACTGGGTAAAGCAGTTTTACTTTAATGAGGGAAATGAGGGCTTTTGCCAGTCTCTTTGGTACACTGCAGTTTTAAAGGGGTCATATGATGCTGCTAAAAAGAACATTATTTTGTGTATTTGGTGTAATGAAATGTGTTTATGCGGTTTAAAGTAAAAAAAACACATTATTTTCCACATACTGTACATTATTGTTTCTCCTCTATGCCCCGCCTTCTGAAACGCGTCGATTTTTACAAAGCTCGCAGCAATGGTGAATTTGCACGTGGTTTGTCTTTAAGCATATTAAAAACACGACAAGTAAACAACGTTAAACCCACCTTTAATGTTACCCCCTTAATTAAAAAAATGTAAAATGAAAGCAGCGGTGAACATAACGGGTGTGTTACATCAGTGGTTTTCAGAGATGGTTTTGTGGACCCACACTGCATATTGTAGGCTGCATGCCTGACTCGGAATTCGGATTTTTCTGGAAATAACGTCTAGAATGCTGCTTAAAGTCGGACATCCAACCTGTGAACTCGGGGCAGACTTTTTTAAATGCCTTTTTTAGATAGTAAGAAAACAGGAAGTGAAGTGGGAGAGAGAAGGGAACTGGGAAAGTTCCCCGAGCCGGGACTCAAATTCGAGACACCTCCCAGCAAGCAATTTTGCGTTTAAAAGACGTCTATTAGACGTCTAAATATAGCCTAGACGCCTAGGCCAGAACGAGGCTAAATTTGGGCTGTCAGTGAAAATCTAATAGATGTCTAATCATAGCCCATTTATAGACAAGTCATCAATTAGACGGCTATTAAACGACTACATACAGGTGCATCTCAATAAATTAGAATGTCGTGGAAAAGTTCATTTATTTCAGTAATTCAACTCAAATTGTGAAACTCGTGTATTAAATAAATTCAATGCACACAGACTGAAGTAGTTTAAGTCTTTGGTTCTTTTATTGACTGTTGACTTTGCTTACATGATGGAATATCATACATCTCACAAGTTATTTTGCCAAAAAACGACATGAAACCAAATTCAAGGTTATTTGGGCTAGAAGTGGGTTACACATAGCCGGACTATATCAGGTCTATACTTAACCGAGACGTTGAAATGACGGCTATTGCTTGCTGGGCTGGAGTGCAACGGCGCCACACATCAGTGCACTGCCCACGAGGCTGTCGCCGCCAAAAACTCATGACCTGACCTCAGCGAGACGCGTCATTTGACGTCACTGCTTACAGCGAGCATACCTTATTTCAAACTTAAAAACATTAGCCCTCTGGGCCTCTTCGGTCACTTTTGACCAAAAAAGTGTATATTTTGACATTTTAAAAATTATAGCTTCATCAGAATGAGATGACGCTTTGTGACTTTTGTCACATTAGCTATGCGTGCACAAAAAAATCATGGGTATTATTTGTTAAAAAACAATAACGGCACACTTGGATTCTTTTTTTAAGAGAGAAAAAAAAAATGTATATATATATATACCTTGACAAAAAGTAGTGTTTGAGAATGTCTAAATATAAATCTGTATATCTAGATCCACAACTTGATAAAATATGTATTTTTTTTAAATAACCAGAGAGTTTTTAACCTCTTCAAATAGAGTTATTTAGGAATCTAGTGGTCACACCATGGCATTACATGTTTTTATTTTTTACTCCCATTAGATGGCACTAATCTGCCTTTAAAAAAAAAAAATCGATTTTAAAGGGGTCATATGATGCTGCTAAAAAGAACATTATTTTATGTATTTGGTGTAATGAAATGTGTTTATGCGGTTTATGCATTATTGTTTCTCCTCTATGCCCGCCTTTCTGAAACGCGTCGATTTTTACAAAGCTCATCGGTCTAAAAAAGCGAGGTGTGCTGTGATTGGCCAACTATTCAGTGCGTTGTGATTGGCCGAATACCTCAAG